GTATCATATCCACTTCTTCTGTCTGGGCTGCGAAAACTATGTGACTCCAGCCGGAATGACTTTTTTTTGCCCCCCCCCTGTATGCTGGCTAGGTGGACGGTGCGACCGACTCTTCACTAGCAAACGCGCTATCCTCTCGCCTTTTTGAGATGCAAAACCAGTACATACTGCATAGGGAGGGCTGTGATATCCAGAGAGGGCGCGGGAACATCAAATGAACGTGGGCGCTGCCTTTGGAGCTTGGTCTGTATTGCGGTAATCCAACTCGCACGAGGAGTTCTTTAATGCATCCCAAGGTTAACAGCGTCGACTTTCAGTTGTTGGTTCAATTCTCCTTGATGCGAATATATCGGATGGAGGGATTTGCTCATCTTCAGAGATTTCCATGAGTTTGCTGGGCAATTCAGGATGGTCTTCTTGACCGTTAACTCCTTTCCTATAACTAGCACCCACAGTGGTCACAGGGAAAGTTGTGGAAGATTGAGGGTAGCAGAAAATACGCCTCCCGCTCTCCCTCAGCCGAAAGGGTTGCACGACATTTCTTTCAGTACGATTTATGGTGAAATTCTAGTTGTGGTTGTAGTGCTGCTACTGGTGCTCTCACAGTCGCACTGCATGCACTCTAGAACTGGAGCACGTCAATCTGCGCAATCGTCAGAAATACTGGAAAGTACATGCCTTTATACCACCATAATCCACTTATGGGAGTGTCCAGATTCGCTCTACCTCTTTCACAAATATTATTCAGCAAACGGAAGAACATGGTAGCAGACGAACCAATGGGTTAAGGTCTCAAAACTTTCAAAAGTTAGTTCGAAACTGCCCTTCCTAGTATCTCGAGGAAAATTTTCGATGTTTTACATTCACATACGGATATTTTGAACGATCATGTCTTCGTATGCGGCTGTTTGAATAACCGATCGAAAAAAGAGGCTCTTCATTCTTGAAGGATGTCGTTTTCATCTGCAAGCTTCCTAGTTCACGCGATATTTTATTTGGACCTATTGTAGAGAAATTTGAGCCAGTTCAGAACTCGACCCATCCTACAAGGGCAGAAGAATCGGTGCGAAAGCGATAACATGTCTAAAGATGGCATCTTCGTGTCGAAATGAGTAGGAAAGAAATCTCTCGGCGCTAACTGATTTCATCTTTGTGCCATGCATTAGATTCCTGCGCTTCTGTAAATGTTGGAGTTTTCCGCATCGCTTCATTTCCTCCTTATAATTCCCCATTTACAACTTTCAACGAAAAGAACTTTCTATAACGCGATTGTCATCCCCGCTCCCATCACTGAGGACACCACAGCACTGTTCCATATTGAATGGCCCTGTGCTTGCGACCTCACCCCACACGCCTCTAATGCACCCTTCTAAAACGGATCCATGTACTGCTACGTTTCCCCTTCCGCCAACTGCTTGCTGCCGTTTGGTACAATTGTTTTGCTGCAGAAGCAGGGGTGTGCTTGAGCGCTGAGCTTGGCGCGGCATTGACCCGTTTTCCACCAATCGTTGTCTCTTGCCCGCTTCAACAAGTTTCTGGTGGAGAACGGGCTGGCGCCGCACAAACAGCACCCACTGGCTC